CCTATGTTGATATCATATTCTGATTTTACTTTTACGAATAGAATATGTGAAAACAAGTTTGGTGGTACAAAACGGACACACTGTATAGAAGAAACGAAATATTGTAAAAATCATAGATTCCACAAAATGTGCATCAAAGTGTTAAGTGTACATATTTGTAATTTAGCTTTCGTTGCACTTTATTTATTGTATACTCGGTACTGGAAATACTGTATTTATTAGAGTTGTATAATTATTTTTCCCTAAATTTGAATAACATGAAATTTATCATATCAACTGTTTTAAAAGCTGAGGTTTCAAGAAACTGAAAGTTACCTTGATACGAGCGTGTTCTGCGAAGAAAAAAGATTTCCCCTTGAAACCATAAAACACGACAAAGGAGAAAGTATTCCATCTTGCCTTGTATCAGGAATGCTTTGTATATTAAAAGCAGATGCTGTAGAAATCTAAGAGTTCACAATTTTCAATACAAATATGCACACGTAAGTACATTTCTCCTTTACTTCTTGAAACCCTATAATTTGTTATAAATTATTAATACACTAATTATCACTAATATACATAGATTATTAAATAAATAATCTGATTTAAAACATTTTTTAAAACAAACATTTACATTGTATCGTATTTTGTTTTAACTTCAAGTGGCTATAAAATTAAATAAATCTTAAAAATAATATAACTATTATAGTTATAATCATTAACTATATTATTATTAAAAAATGCTTAATACTTATATATGTATAAAATTAAAATCAATAGATTATAATCATAATATTTACTGAAACAAGTTTTCATTTATTCCATTATTTAGACTTTATATGAATTAAATAATACTAAATATGTTTTAAGATAAAAATATGAAAACCATAATATTCGTTTCCTCTTATCGGACAGTTTCAAATTTTTGTCCCACGGCTTAGATATGTAAAAGAAATGAGAGCTTCGCTATAAAGCAAACAATATGGTGGAAGTTATTCCCCAAGGATATAACGAAACCAGAATATCCCTTCCAGTGTACACTGTCAGGCAAAAATACGAGACTATCTATCAATTATAATGCAAAATGAAGTTCTTTAAGAAAGTAACTAATAAAAAGTGTCAGGAAATGATTTAATTTTCTCATCTTCAAACAGTATTATTCATTACTTTATATTTATATGACTAAAAATAGTGAAAGTAACACTTGCAAACTTTTCCTGCCAACGTATAAACTGCAAAAATTCTTCAATCATTTAAATCTCGAAACATTTTAATGCAAAAATAGGCAAAGTGAATATTTCACATTTTTATATTTTTATAAATAAACAATTATTTATTTGTATTAATTGTTTGGATTATTTAATTCTATTAATTATTTACATTTTTCTTGTATTTACAAAGGGAAAATATGCATGGTGTGGTAATAAACTGTATACACACGAATATTAACGTCAAATATAAAAATGATAGCAAAAACATTAAACTAAAACATAAAAATGGCGTTCATAGTGGTTATTTTAAAATTACCAATATAGTAACAATTTAACCTACGATCGTTTCATCTATTGAATTATTGTATAATAATAAATTTTGTAAACATTTTATTGGCACATCATACTATAATAGTATAATAGAAAACTGACATCATAAAATTCATAATATATCTTTAAAGCGAGAAATAGGCGTTTATATGTATATATTAGAAAATATAAGTTCAAATAATATAATTTCATACATTTATACAGGATATGTAAACTTGAGAACATTTAAATTTCCCAAATGTCATTAAATTTTCGCTTTTTCAAACTTCTACATTTTCAAATCTCTAAATTCCTAAATTTCGTAATATCAAAATTTCCAAATCCCTAGATCTTCAAATTTCTAGATTTCAACATCCCTAGATGCCCATATTCATAAATGCCTAAATCTTAATAGATTATAACTCAAGTACGATGTAGAACCTATAGTTGTTTCTCCTTTTCTCTTAATTACTGATCCATAATAAATATTTAATTTAGCAGACAGTCGCTGATAGCCTCTAATATTGACTCTAAATTGTATATACAAAAAATTTCAAATTCCTGAACTACATATTCCTAGATATACAAACTCCAAAATCTCCAAATACTTAAGCAACCATGTCCCTTAATTCATAAACTCCAAGATGCCCAAATTTATAAGCATTCATATCTCTAAATTTACAAATTCTGAAATACCTAAATCCGTAGATCTTTTTATCTCCGAATCTACAAATTCATAAGTAGCTATGTAAATCCCTAGACACCCGTATCTTTGAATCGAGAAATTCTTAAATCCCCACATTCTTAGAAATCCACATCCGTAGATTCAGAAATCCCCAAATAACTAGAAATCCACTTTTTTTTTCCAAATTCCCAAATCGCTAAACTCCTATGTGCTTGAATCCTTAGGCCCACATATCTCTAATTCGACAAATTCTTAAGTTTCTAAATCCCTGAATCCCCATATCTCTGAATCAATAAATTCTTAAATTTGCAATTTCCTATATTCCCATATCTACAGATCCACAAATCGCAAAGTCTCCAAATACCTGTAACCTCAAATTTCTACTTCCTCCAAATTCCCACATCACCATATTCCCATGTCCCCGATTCTCCAAGTCCCCAAGTTTCTAAACCTTGAAATCGGCAAATTTCTATTTTCCCAGACCGCAAAGTCTTTTGATCTCAAATCCTCCGAATCCTTAGATTTCCATATCACATTTCCAGATTTTTTAATTCCTAAAAATCCTTAAAATGATAAGAAATCTCTTTCCACTCAGTTGCCATGTTTTTCGTAGGGAAATCAAATATTGTGGTCAAATTGTTAGCCATAACATATAAATCATTTGAGTTTTGATTCACACGATTTAAATGTTTTATTAATGATTCACATTAAACAGCAATGTATAAATGAGAGAATAACTCCGTAGAACTCACTAATATGATAAATATTTAGCAACACCAGAAATAAAAACGTTTGCACGCATTGCGTGAATTAAATTAATTAACCGCAATTGAAATGATATCATTTTGCAACTGTAATGTTAAACTGTTTCACGTAATATTCTTGATTAAAATTAATGCTTTTCAAATTATGTACATACTGTAAATGTAGGCATTAATACTATATTAATTTAAAATGGTAATTTTTAAGTTGTTGGTAAAACATCTGGGTTACGTTGTATTTACACTTTCAATATAGAAGAGCGATAGATAGCCTTGAATTGTACGCGGCTAAGAATGGATAACTGAAACGTTTCTCAGGACACAGAGCATGAACGATTAATTAATACCACTCGAGTACTCGTAAAACAATACGTCGGAGAATATAAATGATGAACTCTTGAAATTTCTTACGTCATAATAAACTTTAAAAAATGTAATTATTTAATAAATGAATTAATGTAAAGAGCGACCTCGATATTCTTAACAATTCTTCTATTCTTAAAATATTTTAGTCTTAATATAAAATTTGATATTATATTAGTTTTAATATAATATAGTGTTGTAATATACATAGAATATTAAAATATTAAGGAAACTGCAAAAATGTCGTTTACATGACAATATTTGATTGCCATTTATTGGTTCACTTTGTGCTAAAGGCATTTGAAAATTGAAGTAACTTATTTACTTGCAAATAATTAAATCGTAAATTTTTCTTTGCAAATTTATGTGAAACGGCCAGTCAAATATTACAAAATAAAAAATAAATATAAGAAAATATTCAAAATGCCATCTCCAATTATTTTTTAAATTTATAGTCATTAAAAATATAAAATTTATAATTAACATATTATACCGTTTTTAAAGCTATAAATATAAAATTTGTAATTAATATATTATATAATTGTTAAAACTATACATATAAAATTTCTAAATTATCAAATTCTCAATTTTAAAGTTCTTAAGTTTCCAAATCTACAAATTTCCAAATTTTTTCATTTTCTAATTCTAAGGAAAGTTCTACTCTCAGTAAACATAATGCACGAAAATTTATAATAAATTTTGTGTATAATAAATTTATAACAAATTTTGTTATGTAACAAAATGATAAGAGCTCCCCTATATTTTCATATTGCCTATGTGAGTCCCCTATTGCTATTTTTATTCGAATAATTTCTGATAGGGAACCAGGCCTAGTTACGCTAATAATCGATATTCATCGATAACAGTATCGATAGCGTATCTCTACAAAACAATTTTTTCCATAGAACCTTGAAAAAACCAAATAAAATAATTAACTAATTACATTATTCGAGCTGAAAAAATTAAAGCATAATACGTAAAATAAGTCATAAGTAGTGGAAAGTTGAACAAGAATGCACTAGCACGTGTCTGCTCCAAAAACACGTGGTTCGCCGGCGCATGAAACAAGTTCACGAACACCTTTCTCTGCACAATCCACGATAGGCATATTCCAACAAGTACAGTTAATCGCAACGCGTTTATTCTCTCTGATCACCGATTGACGCAACAAAATCATTCGTTACATTCAAAACTAAATACGAAATCCAAAATAACTATCACTAGTTCAAGTAAACGAAACGCGCAGCAAGAAGCACGATAAAAGCCGGCAGCGAATATCGCGGGCTATAATAAAAATGATTAACAGCGGTATAATACGAGAGTACTTAAACGTCCACTTAATAAAGGAGAGCAGTTGCCTCGGAGCAAAGTGGGACGCACGCAAAACACAGGTGTACAAGAAAGACAGCTAGAACACGTGACACGTGGAACGCACGCTTCGCTGAAATCCGCGAGGCGGAAATCTCGTAAACAAAATCTTGGAAAAAGTTTCGAGTTTTTGAATGAAAGATAGAGCCAGTAAATATCGTTTGAGAGAAACAGTGTTCGAAGGGAAGTGACATTACACCGAGAAGTCTAGCTGCTCGGTTGGCGTGAGTCTACCAAACGAATGCAGACAACAAAGGTGAAAAGAGAGTAAGGGTAAGGAAGAGAAAGAGAGTGCGAGTCATTCGTTTGTGCAACGCTTACCTCGTGTGGACGGGGATGCTGATGATTGCAGTGACGATGTTCGAACATTCCACACACAAGATCTACACCACACATCACCGCAATCACAACGAAAAACGATATAACGGTGTCGCATTGCATCTTCAACCGCACACGAGCCGCCATCACGGACGACGCTCGCGCTCGCAAAGCATGACACATACTGAGCGCGCGTGACGACGCCGCGCATTTATATAAGCGTCACGGCATCCAGCGCCACACCACTCACGTTCGATACTTCGAGCGCGGCAGACGCTCTCTGTTGTCGCCGCGATAACTCCCTTGGGAGTAACCTGCAAAGAAATCGAAGGGTTACTCTTACAAATACAGTCGCTACAACAGTGTATCCTACGCTTCTTTCAAACATACAATACTATATTCTACGCTTCTATCAAACAATCAGCTAATTTGCGATAGATCTTTGTTACTTGTCGAGTAATTATTGCTGCAACTACAGTCAGTAAATGTGGATGGATCTACATATACTGTGTCATATGAGAAGTATTAGAAATGAAATTTTGAAATTTTTAACTATGCAGCCTTGTATTTTCAACGATTCAGAAATTGGGACTTTTAAAATTCTAAATGATTGTACGTACAAGTTTGTGGAATATTGAAATCCATATGTGCAAGCTAAACCTTCTAATTTCTAAATTTTGTACATTTTTAAAGATACGAACTTGAAGATTACACAAATTTTTAAGAATACGGATGCCTATATTTTTAAATATTACAAACTGAAATCAAATCAAAAATCAATCAAAATCTTCATTTTGATTTCTAAGGTTCCAAACGTTTGCAAATTTGTAAATCTTCACTCCCAAGCCCTCAATTCACGAAATTCCAAATTTTCTAATTATTAAATATCTATACTCCCAGACCACTGATTCTTGAAAATTCAAATTTCTAAATTACTAATTCCTAAAGTCAACAATGTTTAAATATCCAAATATAGAAATTCGTAAATTCTAAAATATCCAAATTTTCTAAATGTCCAAATATACATTCAAATACTTTTAAATTCTTCAATTTCTAAATATCCTAATATACCAATTTGTAAATTCCTGAATATCCAAATATTTTAAATCTCCGATTTTCCAATCCCACGAATTGCACATTTCTAAATCTTCAATCAGTTTATTATTAAAACTTCCAAATCTTCAAAATGGCAAATCTTAAAATTTTCATGTATTTAATTATCTAAAATAGATTTGGCTGCTTTCCGGGATCCTAGCATTCATTGTAAAGCGACAAAAATTATAAGTAATTATACATTACAAATAATACTTTGAATTTATAAGACAACTGTACAAAGTTTGAGTTTTTCATTTCTTGCATGAATAAAAATATGAAGAAGATAACCCTAAATTTTACCATTCTTTTCTCGAAAACTATTAACACTAGATTTATAAAATAAGTCAAAATGACGTCATCTTAGATTCTTTGTTTTAAATTACAGAAATTATTAGGATACTCTTGTCGAAATGCGTGATAATTTTTATCGAGATAAAGGGCAATTGTATAAATTATTTTGTGTTTGGCCTCTTATGTGTTTATTATTATACTTTATTTTTAACTCAGAAATAACTACTCATTGAATATTCGTGTATTTAATATTAAAGGTATTTGCGCACAGTAAAATGTTAATAGAAAATGCTCATCAGTTCTATTTCATATATTTTTTCACAATTTTTGATAAATTATTAATGTATAAATGAAATGTTATATTTTAAAGGTGAAAGGTAAAATGTTATATTTTAAAAATTTCAAGAATTTCGAGTTAGAAGGACATAGTTAAAAAGCTATCAAAATCAGTACTTAAAAATAAAATCGAATACTGAAAGCTTTAAATGACATACTCCAAAGTTGATCAATTTCTAATCTCCTTATTTCCATAATTCCGAGAATATAAATTTAAAAAAATTCGGAGTTTCAAATGTCTGCACTTCTAAATTAACATATTCAAAAAATTCTAAATCTTCATATTTCCATGTAATCGTAAATTCCTAAGTTTCTAAATTTTTAAATTAAAAAATTTACAAATTTACAAATTTGTAAATTCTCAACTTCCCTTAAATACCGAACTTCTACGTACGTAACCTTTTAAATTTACAAATTTTAAAATTGTTAAATCTCTATATTTTCAAAAGCATATAGTTTGTAAATTCTTAACTTCCCAAATTTCCAAATTTCTAAATTACCAAATTCTGAAATTTCCAAATTTTCGAATTTTTGTGTCTCTCACACTTCCACATTTTTAAGTTATCTAATGTACAATATTTTAATATTTTTACACATTCAAATTTCCAAATTTCTAAAAATGATTTCATGTCAACAATCGTAGTACGCTCCTGAACGTAATGGTTGAATTCATAATGAAACCCAAGAAACACCGTACATACAGGATGTTTGTGGTATAGCATTGTTCTTCAAACCTTTTTTGAGAATGTAAAAAAAGTTATCAACCACAAATTGTTTTTCTTAACACATAACTGTGATAAATATTTTGAAAATAAGTCCCTGCGTGTACCTAAGTAATACAGTATCATAGTTTCATTATTACGGTACGAAATTATTTAATAAATTAATCAATAAATTTAGTTACAAAAGTAACTTTTTTAGTTCCTGTTTGCACAAAATTTTTAAATGTAGGAAAAAATGTATTTTAACATTATGTTTATGTCTGTTTTCTCATCGATTTCTACAAATATAGAACACTGAAAAATACTTTACTTACAAATTCGAATAAACCATTCGTTATTAATTCACATAATTTTCTATGCCTCTATCAATTTTGAAAATACATTAATAAAACTCGTAGATACATATTATACAGTAATATATTCAACAGTATACAAGAATATTTACCTAACTGTGCTACTTAAATTATTTTTAAATGATTTGTTATGTGAACAAATATTTCAAAACAAAGCTTGTGTGACATCAAGAAAGGCGCACATTGTAATAATTCTACTTTCTTCTCGAGATATCAAGATCATTTAGATCGTTTTGGTCTTAACGTATAATATAACTTAGAGATTGAACAAAAAATTGAATGTTATGCAAAAAACTATTAAGTCATATGAGTTCGAAAATCAATAATAACAATACGAATAAATGGGCCACTTATTTTGAAAGTGGCCTAAGTCCATTTATGTTTAAATTGAGATATAATAAGAATTTATGTTGTTGTTGCATAAGTGTAGATATAAGTGTATGTCAGAGAGTTACATTTACAATTCCTATTAAAATAATAGCAATTATGAAGCGAATAATATGTTTTCTTACCAAGAATGGACTTAACCCCTTCCCGTGCCATTTATTTATCAGATGCATCAGTCAAGACTAATTCAGGACTATAACATTAAAACGAACAAAAAAATTAAAATGTTGTGAGTATTTTATATTCAGGCGTCCTTGATAATGCAACTTATAGTTGGACCTAAATTTAAAGTTGAAGAGTATTCAAAATTTGAGTACAGCTTGTCACATTTCAGTTGTAAATGCGTCACGAGTGAGACTCGTCAAAGCACGGGAAGAGGTTAAGCCACTTTCAAAATTAGCAACTACTTTTAATTAAATTTGAAACAGTCCAAGTCCATTCGATATAACTTAAAATGTTTCAAATTAAAAAAATAATATTCAATTTCTCTTATATTTCATTACAACAAATGCAAAACGTCACTTATGGAATTCAAGAAATCTTCTAACTACATAAATTACATAACAATTTACTATTAGTCTATATTTTGTACGTGCGGGAGGGATTTGAAGAAGTCATGGAGCTTCGGTGGTATATGTATATACCGTAGTAATATTAATCAATTATTATATTAACTAATTACTAATTAATTGTAATTACCATTGTCACTACCTTCGGACATTTCAAAATCCGCAGTTTCTAACATTATTAATAATAGATTGGATTTAGGCCACTTTCAAAGTCAATTTTTCAACTATCAAAATAATAACAAAAATTTATATGCCCAAAATGAGTCTGTACTCTGAATATACTTAACCACAACAAGTTTTTTGTTTTTTTCTTTAATTGATTGTTTAAGGTCACATACACCTTCTTAGGTTATTAGTGACCATTTGATTTGGAACTGTCTCGTAAGCCTATTGGTATTACATTTGATAATAGAGACGGATATCTATAAAAAATGTTAGAATTTTCCTACACAAATTTAAATTTGTAGCATACTTGTTACGTTTGATATGTTATATTGCGCCCTTTTAACGCGGTATTTAGGGCATTGAATTAGGATGTGGTCAATGGAAATTTGTGCATTGCACACATTACACGTCGTTGGGTTTGATGAAGTAATAAGAAATGAATATGTTAATTTGGTGTGACCAATTCTTAATCTACTTAATATTTTTATTATAGTTAACATCAAATAGTGTGTGTTACTAGAGTTAACAGCAAACAAATGAACTGTAGATCACTTTCGAAATAAACGACTCAATATCGTTCATGCCAATACTTCGCATAATTTACAAGAAATTCATAAAACGTGTTCATTCAAGTAACGTGTAATACATTTTTGATATCCTAAATTTTAACCACGATAATCTTTGCTTATTAAGCGTCGTTAGTTTCACGTTATTTTTATAACGATGAATACCTATGCAAGGTATAAATATTTCCGTTATTTTTAAAAATATAAAAATGTTTATGTACAAAAGGTGTATGGTATCGATGCTACTATAACATACCAGTAATAATTTTTCATACATAGAAACTTCCACGATTTTATTTCATGGAGCAACATATTTTTAATTAAAACAATTCTTCGCGGCATTCAATGCACGAAAGTACTGCAATATAGTAACGAAAACATCAATAAATAATCTCGTAACGCATGTTACATTCAAAAATAAGTATTTTATACCAAAGTTTGAATTGTTAGACGTTCTTTATGTTGTACTTTTAATATTTTTATGATCAGGATGTATGAAAAAACTGATATAAGTTAGAATGAGTTACTATATTTAAAACAGTGAATTTGCATTTAAAAAGATATCAGAATATAAAGTAAAAAAATTAAACAATTCAAATAAAAAAAATTTATAGGATTTATCTATGCAAAAAAAATGTACTATTTAATTTGAAAGAACAAAATTCATATTCATGTTTTCGAAGATCTTTCATATACAAAAATTATTACTACTACACATCCTATTTTCACAAATAATGGAGCCACTATTCAAAAGTTCTTAGTTAATTCGGTTTAGTTAATTTTTTAGGAGTTTCACCATTTCGGAGTTCTAGCATTTGATAATATAGGAATGTCGTAGGGTGAGAATGTGGAAATATAGAAATTTGGAAGTTTGAAAATTTGGATATTTGAGAACTTGAAAGTATAGAAATTTGGGAATTTGAGATTTGAAAACATAAATATGTTGTAGCTTGAAAATTTAGAAACAAATAAATTTAAAAATTTTTGAATTTGCTAATATATGTGGGAGTTTGAGAATTAAAGAATATAGAAATTTGGAAGTTCTAGAACTTGAAAATACAGGAATTTGAAACTAGAAAATTGTTAAAGTTCGAATATTGAAATATTTGGATAATGGAAAATTTGAGACTTTGAGAATTTACAATTTACTATCTTTCTAAGTTTTGAATTTTTATCATTTGTACTCGCTATTAAAAAAATATATTATATTAGTACGATGAAATTTCGCGAACTTCCTACTTTTAAATTGAAGATCAGCTTTGAACAGACTACACAATGCACTGAAGTTTATTAGTATTCCACTCTTTTCCTAACAGTGGAATTTTAGAACTTCTTGATTTGTAATTGAAAATTGGTTTTCAGCAGACTATATGCAATAGAATGAAGCTTAATAAAATTCCATTCGTTATTAAACGTAAAATTTTTAAATTTAATTTCCTCGAATATTGCACTTGTCATGAAAAAATTCCATATCATATGTTCAATCGACTTTTATTTATTTAACATAAATAACAATCTGTCCAATTTTATCACAAATCCAGCCATATATTTAAATATACTTGTAAATTAATAATTATTATTTTGATAAATAAGTACCGTATGTTCAATTATACACACATAATTCTGGTATTAAAACAGTTTTATAAAAAATAAATAAAATTTATAATTTTGGGTCAGTGTTTTTATAAACATTTTCAACTTTACTGAAAAAAGGTCAACTAAATCTTGGTATTATTTTAGAGATATTTCTGATGGAATATTTATTAAAAATGCATATAGATTTTAAATATTTTTAACTGACATTAACAATCCATGTGAAAATCGTAAGAATCGTTTTTAGTATTTCATAAATTATGATTTTTAATTTAGTTATTTTAAAACAACTGTATTACGTAATAAGTGGAATAAACGTACTACATAAATACACTATAGAACAAAAAGCGGAAACAGTATGAACTAACAAGAAATAAATTCTACAATCTAAATATTTTTGTTCATAAATAATAATAAATTTACACATTTAATAAATTAATTAAACTGTTTTAATTAAAATTATTTTAATATCGATTTAAGATATTAAAATATTTCGTTTAGTCTGTGTAATGTTTATTCGTGTACTAAAGTAAGAAACATACATATAAAACAAACAATTAACTTATATTTACATTTTAACAAAAATTGGTTAATTGCAGAAAATATATCACATGAAAATCATATTATATATAAAAAAGTGTTTAAAATTTAAAAAAAAAACAAGAGACATGTAAACATTAAAATTCTTTAATTTTGTACAAATATTACATAAATTAAAATTCATAAATAGATTCAAAAACTTTCGAAAAAATTCTTTCGAAATATTTTTTCTAGACATCACCGGACAAATCAATAAATAATAATTTAATATTAAATTATGTAATTACACTAAATAAATATTCTCATTCGAATATTACTCAAATCCATTTGTAGCAAACAGAATACATTTTGATATACATTTAAATGATATATGGAGATGTAAATTCCTTATTATATTTTTTGATAATGGTTTACTTAATAATTTTAGAAAATGTATTTCAGTTTAATATATTTTGTGCTGGTAAATGAAAGGGAGGGCGCAAAAGGAAAATAACTAGAAATTTTTCAAGAAATCTTGATATTTTATTGAAAATATTATATTATAGAATTATTATAACAATGTTTATTTTTATTTACTGCAGATATTTAACAAAATTAACAGCCTTTTATGTAACTCTTTATACTAATGTATAAATAATACAGTACACTTTAAGCGTCTTTTTCTATATTTTCCATTTTCTTATTTTTTACACACTTGTGCGAACCAGTTTTTACTATCAACACAATTTTGACTTGTGCAATGCGGGCAACGTGTTAAGAACATATGGCTTATTGGTTTATTCGATTTGAGATGAGAATTAACAATATCTGTCAAAGCATCTATAAATATTGGATGATCATTTGGTGCTGCAGCTCTTCTTATCTTGTCGATGCCGAGCTAAAATGAAAAAGTAAGAAATTCTATAATAGTTTTTAAATTTAACCCTTGCTTACTATAGTAAGGTCCCGGAATACTTTATGTGATAACAGATGATTCTAACAAAGGAGAAACCTTAATTGTTCGACGTCTATTTTAACGAGCTTTTGTAAGATGATACGATACAAGTTTACGAAAATTTTGATGATATACAGTTCCACTCAAAAATCCTAGGATCACGATGGTTTGTAACAAAGATCTTTTGATACAGATTATAAACTTTGTACCATATTTACTATTTCATAAGTTAAGTAGAAATAGATGACCAAATTTTAATAGTTTTCTACTTCTCTATGTGCACATCTTTAGTATAATAGAAAATTATAATCATAATTGTGATTCAAACAAATTACTGAAATTGCAAATCATCCAATTTTACTGTGAAATTAAGGCCCATAAACTAAATATGTGATAATTGGATCTTGACAGAATTCATAGCTTTGATAAATTGTTAAGTGAGACTGTATACAGGGTGTTACCTGTAATGCTACTCAAGATTTTTCTCCCACTTGTAGCCACCTTACGAAAAAAATGTTTAGAACAATATTTGCAGGGTATGAAGTGCACAATAGATACTAGTAAAGCAAATTTTGAAAACAGTTTGTTCTCTTGGTAAAGTTAAGATCATTTTGGGTTTTTTAAATAGGAACATACATTTTTTTTAATTCATAGCTTTAGAGGGCATCGAGACATATGTATATTACATGAATTCAAAACATATATTACAAGATATTTTTATTAACATATTACTCAATTTACAGAAGTGAAAATGTGAAGTAAAAGACCGGAATATTACGCGATGGAAGACATTTAGAACATGTAATTAAATAAAGTGTATTTTTCTTACATTCAGTCGCGTGTTCACATTCAGTAATCTCTTTGGAGCCAAATAATAGTTACACTACCAAAGTCAAAAGCTAAGTACTTCACATTTCCACTTCTGTAAAATGAGTGATATGTTAATAAAAATATCTTGTAATATATGTTTTGAATTCGTCTCGATGCCCTCTAAAGCTATGAATAAAAAAAGTGTATGTTCGTATTTAAAAAAACCCAAGGTGACCTTGACTTTGCCAAGAGAACAAACCGTTCTCAGAATTTGCTTTACTAATATCTATTGTGCACTTCATATCCTGCAAAAATTGTTCTAAACTTTTTTTCGTTAAGTGGCTGCAAGTGGGAGAAAAATCGTGAGTAGCGTTACAGGTAACATTCTGTATATTATACATAATACTTTACTATTATTTTGTTTATATTTATATTGGGTTTATATCTATGCAATTCATAAGAATTATGGAAAACCTATACTCAATATACAACATGCATCAAAGACTTGTATACTACCAGCAAAAGTGCAAAAACTCACAATCAGTCAATTAGAGTTCATCCTTTGCAAGTATTCTACTAATGTTTAGTTAAGTAATCATATAATTTGGCAAATATATAATTAAATCTCTGAAAACATTCCATCAGACCATAACAGTTAAGAATTAAATCATTAACACTTACTTGTTCTGCTAGTTCTTTGCAATATTCAATATCCAGTTCGTGAAGAGTTTCAATATGTTCATTAACAAATGCTACTGGTACTAACAAAAAATGCTTTTTTCCTTGCTCGACGTAAGCTTTTATGGCGTCATCGGTAAAGGGCGCCAACCAAGGTACTGGACCAACCTAAATACAAATTACTTTTAACATTAAAATATAATAAAAAGCTTTAGCCATTTGATATGTGGAATATCTGAAAGAAAGAAGCAATTATTGATCCTTATAAATAAACAAAATAAAAAGTACGACAAAAGTAATAGATCTTAACACTTTTAAAATTAATATTTTAAGGACAGTTTGTGGAACATGTACTACAAAGCATTAAAGTTAGTTCAACGATATTTCCACTGAAACTGGTGGTTGGAAGAATATTATATGTTACCGCTACTTCTACTGTGATACATAGTACGATCGTAAAATCCTTTAAAAGCCAAAAGCACATAGAATTCGTACACTTAAAAGAGTAGTTTTATACAATGACATCACATTTTGGCGATAAACGTAAAAAGGTGTTTTGTAATATCAATGTAATTTATATAAGTGATTATTAATTGTGTCTGAGAGAGAAAAAATATTTTTTAATTTAAAAATTTGAAAATTTTAAACTGCTACATTTATAAATATTTTAGTTTCTAAACATCTAAATTATTACATTTTTAGGTTTCAATATTTCCAAATTTCTAAATACCAAATGTAATTTTTCGTTTCTGAATGAATAAATATTGATTACCAATATTACTTGTTTTATTATAAACTAATAAATATGAGGATTGTAATTTTGAAATTTTTATATTTTAAATATTTCAAAATTACAATCTCCATATTTATTATTTTATAGCATAACAAGTAATATTGGTAATCAATATTTATTTATTCAAAAACGTAAAATTACATATGTGCAATTAATATTCGAGTAAATGTTCGAAAATTTGTGCGCATAGTAGGCTCAAAAAATACTGATTGAATTTAAAAAATTGTATTACAGAATGTTAGTACTGACAAAAATTTTTCTCGTGGTATTACAAACCAGTTGTAACAACTTGTTGAATTTGGGACCGTACTAGTATACACGGTTGTACCGGGTATAACCCTTCTGTCGGAAAAATTAAAAAAAAGTATTAGACGAAATACATGAATAGTTCAAAGGATATTGCGTGTAGAACATTCATTTTTTGCAAAAACAGTGCATATCACTTTTCAAATAGAACTACGGATGTTTTCACATAGATTATAAATTAAAAGTTAAAAGACAAATACATGAGGTATTATAAATTCGGAAATGAGATATTTTATAAACAAATTTTTGATATTTCACCAATTGTTAAGTTCTTTGATAATATACTTTAAAACTCACACAAAAAGATTCGATTTATGTAAAAAAAAATGTTGCACTTAAAAGTACAAACACCCCATTTTCTGATTTAAAATGCCTTGCGAATTGTTAATTTCATAAAAATTATAACGAAATATTATTATTATTATTTTTATAAAAAATGTTCCAAAGAGTCGATTCATTTAAAAGAGAAATGCAATTTTACTTGAAAAAGAATGATAAAATTGTTGGATTTAAATATATAACATTTTACATATACAGAAAAAATATTACAATTAATTTCTTCGGAGATTTAAATAACGTGATGAAACTGATATTGCATGTACTGTGTTCTATACATGTATACACATAGATGCTTATATAAACTCTACTAGACACAGCTCAATATCTGAAAGCCCCAAAGTTAAGTGTAATTATAAATTCATCTTTACTGATTAGTTTACTAGCAAGACTCAGTCTCCAAATTTCAAACTATAGACGAAAGTTAATCAGATTAAGTTTGTCAGATATCTAAATTACGTTCTATATAGAAACTGATACACTAAAATGAACATTTTCATATGAAATCAACGATATCATATCAGTAATTGTTAATCGAAATAATAAAATAATACAAATTTTTGTTTGTATTCCACTAATTCATTGCAACTGCTCTGTAAAATTATCAACAGCCGATAAACTTAACCTATAGTATCGAAATTGAAATTACGATTGAAATTTTCACGAGAATAATAATTATTTTTAATTAGTATTTTTTTGTAGCCAGTAATCTATCATCTTTCATTAAGACATGTTAATGCCATATTTTCATTGTTAATTGCGTAACTTTACTGATTTTAGTATTCAGAAATTTTTTTTTATAGTCAAACGTGTTCCGAATCTTGAGAAATATTGAGTAAGACTGTTACATATCGCAAATTATTGAATTTGCCATAGAAAAGACATAATTAACCCATGGTGAAATAAATCTTTTTAATCTTCTATTATAAACATTCCCGATTTCAAAAGTTTGCTATTTTTTTAACAAAATTTTAAATATTACTAAAACAAAATTTGTGTTCTTCATATAAAATATCTTGATCATTGTTTTAATTTAAATTAAACTAAAAACGTTTTAAATTGAATGAAAAGGTTTTATCCAACTTATTAATTTATCAATGATCTAATCTTACCAAAAATATCAATACTCAAAATACTCAGAAAATAGGATTTTCCAATTACTTGGAAAATATAGGAAACTTCCAAGAATTGAAAATGCAATTGATATATCTCTATGAGTGATATCTTTATCTATTTATCTATATCATTTATTAAGGTATACCTATATATATGTAGTTATTTGTATCAATTACTGATATCCATATTGTGCTTTATGAAAGCAAGAATATAACATAACTATGTTCCTGCAATTAAAACTTATAAAAAATATTTTGCGCCCATAAAAGGGCAGTAGAGGACTGTAAATATTTAAATCTAGTAACACAAACTAATGTTAATGTTAAAATCTTTTTTCAGTGTTTTTACCTACATATCCATCACAAAATATTTGCATTTCTATAGAACACTTTTTTTGACAATTAAGTTTTCTGATAATTTAATTTGGGGCACTAATCTGAATAATTCAATTAATCACATTACAAAAATTATACTGTATACCATTTCTTATGAAATTTATAATCATTTATCAAATGCAAAAAATTATAAATAAAGCATATACTTAATAAAATAAGTTCAATACCTTCGATTGCCATACTAATTTATACGGATTACAATATTGTAATTGTTCCATTACTAGGGCAACAGTGCTAGCAACTTCGGGCGCATAAGGATCTCCTCGACATACTGCCTAAAATTAAACAACAGAAAACACGAACTTTTAAGATTTTTACTATAAATTATATTAAAATATTCATTTATTTGCAATGTTGAAAAGTAACCTTTAACGGAAGTGAATGAGCAGAAAATAAAATTATAACATCGTTCCTGATATCTTCAGGAAACTTAATTAATTCTTCCTTAATTCTTTCAGTAATTGTCCGTATCAGCAATGGGTGCGTTGCCCACCTATCTATTATACTCCATTTCATATTACTTGGAAGCTGTCTGCAAATTATTAATAGTTAAATGTAAAGTAGTAATTTTTTATAATAGTTCAGTATCTTATTCTGTACTATTTTAACATCCTATTATTTCTAATATGTATATATTCAAAAAGTGTAAATAATGACAAACTGCTAACAAATGCATAATGTTTTAAAATGTACAAGACCATGATAAATTAATTATTTTTTATAGTTTAACAATTATTTTGTTATAAGATTTAAAAATAATTTGTAATTATTTAATATCAAATAAATTAAAACATGCATGAAATTTATCTAATTCGACATAAAGATATATGAAACATATAAAAGTTTTTATTGCAATAATATTAAAAGATAACTACCTCTGTGCATAATATTTATATATCTCAATAAAACTTGACCCACTTGTAGCACAAGAATATTGTGGATACTGAGAAAATAATACTGTATGTTCAATGCCATCTCTGAAATGAAAATATACATGATATGTACGACAAAAGTATCTGTCACATTTACTAACCATTCTAATTACTCTTGTTCAGAATTTTACTATTATTCAAATTCAGAAATACATCTACATTCTTACTGCTCTATTTGCTGAAGTGTACTTTCAGTAAGAGGATTTGCATAACGAAAAGCAACGTAATGTTTATGAGGCGCAGTTTCTGGTGAAACCTTATCCAATTTCTCACACAAAAGTTTACCCTGTTTATTTGTCCATTCCAAAATAGGAGATTTACCACCAATTTCTGCATATTTTTTTTGTATCTTAGGAGTACGAGACTGTGCTATCCATGGACCTAATCGACTGTAATGTATATTTATATTATAAAAGAGTATATATGTTTTTTTAATATAAATTAATTTCATCATAGCAATTAAACCTTTGAAATGGAAGCTGAATCATATCACGATCAGTCATTATGCGTAATAAGTATTCATGAACTTCTTCAAGACTACCAGGTCCACCCATATTTAACATTAAAATACCTGTTTTTGGCTTGGCATTATTATTTATTTGTTTTAAGTTTGTTGCCACAGAAAATTGGCGCCAAAAGGAAATGGAAGATTTTTCACAATGTCTTGCTAAATCACAACAGAAAATATATATCAGTTATTTGAATAAAAATAATAAATTTACTGAAGAAAATAAAATTTAACTGATAATATTTTATATATGCACACTATCATACAAATGGATACAGCATAGAATACATTACATATTACAACTTAGAATCAAATTATAAATAGTTGTGTTCTAGTAAAGCTTTTCATTTCATTTATTTTTCTTCGTTATTATGTTTAGTAGAACTCTAAAATTCTGAAATCAGTTATGTGTACACAACAAAACCATAAAAAGAAATGGATATGAATTCGATTGAAATTAATGTTATTATTAATGAGTAAAAGAAAGCAATTAAATAATAATCAAAATGTTCAGAATTTATATTGACACTTTGAGTATCCATACTGAATTCATTAAAAATCTTAAAGAATAATAATTTTATTTTGAGCAAACTTCAATAACATTATAAACATCTTACAACGTTACTACAAAATTAATAATAAATATAACTAAACATTCTGTTAAAAAAATATATTTCATATTACAGTACAAAATAAAAACAATATTCTCTAATTTAACTCTTAATTTAATATTATACTTGCAATCAAGAATATAAGTATGTTTAAACTTTTATAGTTTTATAGCAAACTGTACAAGCACCAAAAGCACAAAATATGTTAAATATAATATTTACTTACCAAATTGCACTACGTTCAATAAACTTGTTGTCATTTTTACCAAACTATCACTTTGAAATTAATAATGAGCGTAGCAAACGGCTGCTTATTTAATAAGTGCACAAGACTACACAAGGCTGAGTTTATGCACTATCACGATGACGGAAAGTTTAATGATAGTATGATTTGGAGGTTAGATTTAAAAGTAAGGTTATGTATGGGAAATAATACGGTCATGATATGATAACACGTTTTGCATTCATAGAAATTTCCTAAACATATTGTAGTGTTTATTACTAATTGCATACAAATACATTCGTAAGTAAATGTTATACGCAGAAAACAGTTGACAATACTTCTCATAAAATTAAAGAAATTTTTGTATTAAGATTATGGCAGATCAAGATACTGAAGAACTTGGTCCATCAGATTTAGGTACACTTGATTAGTAAGTATTACATACCGTACACGTAAATACGAAATGCCCGATAAGCATTACTTTATATCGTCACTATTGTATTACAGTTGGGAAAGGATATACTCGGAAGAATTTGATAATTTTAAGGATCACGGGGACACAGGCGAAATATGGTTTGGCAGAAATAATTCACTAAAAATTGTACGGTATGTCATTCAAATAATTCCCGAAAAATATTATTAAACGCACACATAAACAATAAGACCACTGGTGCTATCTTTAGTGTGTCGCAAAAGTTAAAAATTGTATCATTGTTAAGGGGTGGTATTTTCAAATTTTCAAAGCAGAAAAATAAGAATTTTTATTTATTTGCTTAAAATGAATGCATATCATAGGTTTAGTAATGTTCTAGACCTTATTTATGTCAGTAAATGTACACTTTTAAACATATAAAATTACTCTTCGTATAAATAACTTGTTATAAAAATATTAGATTTGCCAAAAAATTCTGTTCATAAGTACAAAATATATATAATCGATACCAATGGTATCTAGTATCAATATTTAAACACAAATCATAATTGGTAGATGTAATTAGATATGTATTCAGAAACATTCAAATGTTTATGTATCACCTTTCAAGTTAAAACTGATTTTTTCAATTAAGCTTTTGACAGAACATAGTTGTTAACATTAACTTACTTTCTTGATTGAGACTTGCTTGTGTCTTAATCTTAAATTTTGTATCCCAAAAATGTTCAAGTTATTAGCTAATTTGTGACTTTTTATATTCACATCTTCTTAGAGATACAAGTAAAACTTGTGGATAATACAATGGCATAAATAGATCTTATTAACTGATATGTTTGTCCCAATATTATTTGAGAGATGTCAACTAATTAAACATAATGTTGTTATTTTGTACAACACATGCTGATAGCAGTTTTGTAATCTATTAGTAAGTATTTATAATCTTGTATCGTATCAAAGGAAAGAAAATCTCAAGACCATAAAATGAACTAAACTTTTTGGCGCACCTAATATATAGTATAAAAATATACTTCCTAAATATAACCTTTATTAATTCTTTGTTTATAATTTCAGTTGGATTAATACGCAAATGAAACTTCACAAAGATGATAAAATAATTGATATAGGATGTGGAAATGGAATGACATTAGTTGAACTTGCAAAAGTAGATTTTAAGAATTTAATGGGTGTAGATTATTCTCAAAAAGCAATTGACTTAGCTGCAGAAATATTAAAAGAAAACAATCTGTCGGTTGACTTAAGAGTCTGTGATATATTGAATTTAGAGAACTCTGAATTACCAACAGATTTTAAGTTAGCACACGATAAAGGAACTTATGATGCAATTAGTTTGCATCCAGAGGATCCTGCAACAAAACGACAAAAGTATATAGAAAATGTGTATAAAATTCTGCAACCTGCTGGTTATCTAGTTCTAACTTCATGTAATTGGACTAAAGAAGAAATAGAAAAACATTTTGAAAACTGTAAGCAAAAATTATATTATCAATTTAAGCAAAAATTATATTTTTTAATCCTTTGTGGCTCTATAAATTATTATAATTAGCTAAAGTGGCACTGAACATGTCTACAGTTTCTTTTAAATTATTGATATAAATTCAACATCTGCAATTAAGAAATCATTAATGGAGTTAAATATAAATATATTGCATCATATAATATCCAGTGAAACCTTAATCAGGTATTCCTTAAATAATTGTTTTTTTTATTAATTGCTTATTTCATTTGATTTTGAATATTTCAATTTTAAATCATATGTATATCTAGGAGTTTCCCCTCAATTTAGCATTTACATCAGCAAATTCTTTAGAAAATCATAGATGAAGATTTCACTGTATTATTGGGTAGAGCCTCACAGGATTAATATATTACAGATAGTTGGACAATATAGTAAGTGAAAGTTACATATAGCACTAGTATACAAACATTAGGACAAAATAGTACTATTCCTCCCATTTTTTAAAATAATGTGTCATGTAGATTATATAAGTTATTCAGTTTAATTGACAGCAACATTTATAAAATGATCTTTTTGATTAAATTGCAGCAAGCAACTTAAAAGTCAGGAATACTGAATGCACTACAGATGATACATACTATTATTTATTACCAATTTTTCTAGTTGGGCACAGTAATAGTAGATATAATTAGAAGCTTTAAAATTTACAATTTATAGTATAGATATATGTATTTGTACATTCATGCATATGTAAGTACATACATGCAATCTTCTTAACTGAAGAAAAATAATTAATTTTATTAAAAGATACAGAATGTCAATGTTGTATAACGAAAAATAATATATGATATTATTTAGAATAACAAATTTATAATAATTTTGTATAGTTAGTTTTTTAGTTAAAAATACTTAGATAAAAAAAAATACAATTTCGAAGAAATACTGTTTTCATTACCATTTGTTTAACTCATTTCTTGTCGTCTTTTTTGGTTCAAAGATTTTTTTCATGCTTTCTATCCCTAAAATTTTCACTTGCCTTGTTCTACTTTACCACAGCTGATAATCTCTAAAATAATTTTGTTCTTATATCAAAATAATCGTATTATACATATCCGCAGATTGTCTTTGCAAATATAAAATCGTTTCATACTATGTACAATACAATTTTGTTTCAATTATCAATTAACATATAATGTGCGTAAAATGAAATGAAATTATTTTTTATTTACATTTATTTCATTTGATAGTGGTTGGAATAGTACTAATACATTTTGTAATTTTATAAGATTTCGCTTAATTCCTACACTTAATACTACAAATAATAATACGGATAACATTAATAGATTTCGAAATATTGTAGATTTTGTCATCCGTAATGTGCTTCCTTCTGATACATTTCGTTTTGGAGGACAATGTGGGAACACCATAACACAATTAGTTCTTCAGAAGAAATAATGGTAATAAATTAAAGGATTGATAAATACAATATCTGACATTTTCTATTTATTCACCTTTCATGATTTTCATTTATGCATAATAAAAGTCACTTATGTGTAATACAAATATGTTACTAATATGTTAATAGTTTACTATTACATTATTATTAAGTAATTAAAATGAATGCTACTATTAGGTTTAATTTGATAAATCTGTATTCGTATAAATTATTGATATTTAATAATTAATTGATAAATATATACTCTTATACAGTCATATTGATATTTAAGGCATCATTGGCATATAAGAACTTCGCATTTGTCTGTTATGTATATGTGAACTGTTGAACTAGAATGTGCAATATAGTTTATGATTAAGATCGAAAAGTGAAACAATTTGTTTATGTGGCTAACAAAAAGATTCTAATATATTAATATTAGTAATATTTCTATACTTTGTTATCGTATTTTTATGTATTAAATAAGAATTTGTTATATAAGAACTAAAACCAAATTGAGTGGCTAAATTTTTGCAAATAAATATAAAATAAAAATTAGGTTTGTATATGTATACATATTAATATACATATTAATACATATATATATATAAATATTCTTTATATATTTTTGAGGTACTAAAGGTAGTAATACGTCTCGTATTGTATCTAATATTTTTCACAACTAATTTTTCATTAAAATTATGTAAAGCTTTATATATACTGAAAAAATGAGGAGTTTTCATAATTTTGAAATTAGCATACAATATGTAAATTGAAACTGTGATTCAATGTCCTAAAAACTATTTTGCAAAATCGTCGTATGGTATGACTCACAAATAAAATATTAATCATTCATTTAAATTCAAATGATAAAATGTATTATGTAATGTTCTATATAGTTACGTTCTTGTTATACATTGAAATAAATAGTCTCATTATGGTCTAACTGATATTTTGGTATTATGTCACAAATAATTATAACTTGTAATATAATAAAATTTATATATATGTAGTAGAAGTAGAAACGTTCTATACTTTAATTCACAACTGAATTAGCAAAACTACAGTTTGTTCTCAACAAATAAATGAATAAATTGAAGCATTATCTAAAGTAAGCACAAAAGTAAAATAATGAGACAATTATGAATCAAAGCACATAATGCAGTAAGATTACGTACATATATGTATTGTTTTTGTATCTAAAAACTTTATATAATATATATAGTAAATTATTTTGTTTATAAATAATTTTTTGTATTTCAAATATAATTTTTAAGTATAATTATAGAATATGATTGACTTTATTGACTTAAAAATTACATTATTATTGCAATTACTTGTATTACGTTGGATGTAAAATTAATTCTTGATACTACACAGTATCATGCTGTTGGTTGATTTATGTATATACAGAAAAAATTAACACGTGTAGCTTCGGAATTAACGTTTCTCGGAGTAATGTTTTGAAATTTCAAAGGATTTACAGGAAACTTAAGTTCTGTGTACAAAGACTTAAAACAACTAAGAGAACTATGTGAACTGTACAGGTGAGGGATGCACTACCTGAAAAAAGAATTTATTGCCATTAGAAATTTTACATAATCATACATACATGTATATATCTATACATACATTAATATACACGTATGAAACTTATAAAGTGTTAAGCATTTTTTAAAATAATATATTTATAGTTACATGCATCAATGTTCAAACTCGTTGAGACCCTGAGAGTTTCCAATATAATCACTTCAGTCTCAGATTATACACAAATAGATATGTTCATGATTTACTTTCGTTAACTTAAATTTGTAAGTTAATTGCCTCGAAAATGAGGTTCCGAAAAAATCTTTTTATTGGCTTATTTATCCAGATTTTAAAATCTAGGTTTATCAATTGACCGAATATTTAATTTATCTTTAGAAAATTTAGATCGGTATAAATCGAAATTTCAGTTAGGATCTAGTCAAAATAAACGTTTGATTCAATTATATTTAATTTTAATGTACTAAAGGTTTACATATAATTAATATGATTTACCGTTGCATGCCAAAGGATAGTCTTCGTAATACCCTTCCTGACAATAACAACGTTTTCCAGACATAGTCGTGTTCCGTTGTACGCAGTGTGCACCATCAACGCATTCAGAGTCATCGTTACAGGGTGTATGTAAAGCTACAAAGTATAAAATATATGTTAGTTATTTATAATATATTATCGTATTAACCTAGAAAAACAATTTATTTGTGCAAATAGATGATATTTTTGTTTTATACAAAATATGATAAGGTATTATGGCAAAATCTAAATAAATGGTATAGGTATAATAAAAATTATAATATCTGGAATATGTTTGTTAGAAAAAGATATAAGGAAAAGACAGTTAGGAAAAGATATTTATAATGGATCACTGTGACTAGTCGAAAAACGATGCTGTTTTAAGAATATCTAAAAAGAAATAACAGCCTAACAATGGTGGTCTCATGATTTTTACAGCATTGTCAAAATAGTCGATGGGATACTTCTAGAAAAGAAGTAGCTCCAAAAGAAATAACAAAAGAAATGATTCATATTTCGTGCGGTAGGTTCTTTAATTTTGTATTAGTATGAAATATAAAAGTTGCCTCATGCAGTTTTAAGTCATATTCTTAAAATGCTTTAAAGCATTCTGTTAAATACAAGTAAATATTGCTGGATGTTTCACATTGTATGCATTTCATCTTTGAAAATGATGTCATCATTCTCACATCTTTAAACTGAACTGCGTATATTTTACATCAATACTGCATACTTGTTTCCCACCTTTCATTTTCTTACTTAGAAGTATAATTTGGGCAAATCAATTGGAACTTTGTACAATGCTACTTAATTAGATTCTGTTGTTAAAACATTAGTTTAAAGTTAATATATTATAAATTCTATCACACTCTTGCTCTCACAATTTTATGTTCTCTAGATATTATTGTGCTTTATTACTAGGATAAAGCAAATGTATTTTATTACGTTGTTCAATTTGGTAAGTTGCAATAACTTCTGAAAATTTATGTTATGCTTATTGAAACTTACTAAAATCAGAAAAAGTTATAATTTGTTGAATTGTGATATCGCAAAAGCTCTGTGCGTTTTAATTTCACACGAACACGCAATTTCACGCAAATGTGTTCTCGACATGACTTTTAACGGTCGATCAATTTTCAACTTCTGCCGGAGTGTGCAATTTTACCTGAAATTATCTAAAATTCTATGTTCTAGAAGGAAGAGAAATTATTTACGGCAACCCTGTAATCAAATCGAACAAGTAAATTTCTAAGTCAATCTTTCTTCGGCATCTGACATTTATAAACTTATAAATCACATTTTGCCAAACTTTCATACTCTTTTGAAAGTATTAATTTAAGATAATTTGTTACGAAACATCGATAAACTGACATGATTTAATGATATATGTATACAAGTATCAATAAATATTATTTATTTTAGATACATCAATTCAAAGCTTAAAATTCAATGAAAATTACGACATAAACGTTTCATCAATACTTTTTATCCTTGACTATCGCGGTAGGGGTGAATTTGACCTCGTCTGAATTAAATCTACAGCTTTTCTTAAAACTAAATAGACATTCCGTAAAAATATAAATATGTAGTAAAATACTGCTACTGATAAAATAATATAATAATGCTGCTATTAAAAATAATATAATAATGCTATTGTTCAAAATAATATAATATACAGCGTGTATCTTAACATTTAATAGATAATTACAGTATAAAATAGTAGTCAAAATAATATATCAAAATAGTAGTCTTTGGTCATTTCTGTAAACGGTTTTATAACATTTGGTAACGTAGTACTAATAGTATTTCAATTTGATACTTGAAATTGAAAAATTACTGTACAAATCACTCTGTAAAGTCCTTAATGTGAAATTGCTGGTTGCCAATCTAAAATTATCACAAAGTGGGATTTAAAGAAAGCTATGAGTTATGTTCTCGACACTTCAATCATCATTAGCACCTTCAGCTCAAATATAGATTCGTAAGAATTGCTATTCGAGAAACGTATTGTATTTTTATTTACACGATACTCATCTTTAATTTATGTATCGTTTTTTATTAACGTTTTTAATTAATGCTAGTTGTCAGAGAATTTTCTTATTAATTTTTGTGACAAAAATTAAATATTAATATTATTATGTTGATTACTATGATTACCAGTGTCGACGTTATAAGTTTAATTATATTAAATGTTTAAACGAGAATGAAATACACTTTTTAATGCCTTTAACATTAAATCAATGATATAGAGTAAAAAATTAAGAATTGAAGTTGAAAAATTGAGTGCTTGTTTTTAGTAAAGTGTCTGGCTATTGTTACGTGCGGGAAGCGCGCGTATAAAGCCTCGAAGATTTGTTGCCCTAACAATATTAATTGTTAACGGGACTTAATGTTTTGTGGATCCGGAGATACGCTAGTCCCATACGGGCCCTTTCACAAGATCGCAATGATTATAGGAGATGACGGAGGCAATAAGAGAAATGTAATTCAAAATAATTAAAAGATACAAAAGATTATATTTTATAAAATATGGAGAGATTAGAATGGTAGCGTATATAATATAATGTGAATCACAATGAACTGAACAAAAATATTGTAAATATCCGAGACGCGCAATTCGAAGATTTGAAGGAGAAACAAATATTCAAATACAAAATAATTTCACAAGATCGCAATGATTATAGGATATGACGGAGGCAATAAAAGAAATGTAATTCAAAATAATTAAAAGATACAAAAGATTATATTTTATAAAATATGAAGAGATTAGAATGGTAGCGTATATAATATAATGTGAATCACAATGAACTGAACAAAAATATTGTAAATATCCGAGACGCGCAATTCGAAGATTTGAAGGAGAAACAAATATTCAAATACAAAATAATTTTATAATCCAGTGAGGGAAATCCCAAAGTTAAATAATTAACTACTGGATCTACTTGCCGAAAAATTCATAAAATAGCTGGAAGAATAAAGGAAACAACTCACCGAAATATGTGTACTTGAATGAATTTAGAATTAACAACCTCTTGCAAAATGTGTAATGCCAATTACGCCTGGTTCCTGAAGAACACACACACACATGAAAGCGCTCCACCAATGATAATTTTGAATTAACTAATTGTGAAATTCAATTAAACTATAAAATAAAATTATAATTTAAAAATTAAAAAGAATAGAATCGAATATAATTAAATAGAAAAATAGAATAATTAATTGAATTGAAAATTTAATGTGATTATATAACGCGAAAGTTTTACGTGAAGATAGAGTCTTTGTCTGAATTTTGCACTTTAACAAATTCTAGAACAAACTCGTCTCTAAGCCACTTCACGGACCCTCGACACGCACCTCGCGATTATACACCGAAGAGTGTCGCAACTTGCATCTCTCGGAGAAGACCAGAGTGGGCCTAGTCCGAAATTGTTTATGTTGCATTGATATGCGCCTAACGAATTAGGCTACGAGGCCAATGCGTAAGAGACCGTGATTCGTTAACTAGGTGGTGATGGTGGGTGCATGTGTTCCTCCCTTGTCCAGCTCTTATCTTTCTCTCTTTCTATATAGTTCTTTCCTTTACTCTTGAGCTACGGATTGTTAATTAGCTATCGAATAATTTTACATGCATAACCAATATAATATAAAATGTTAATCTGTATACATTATAAAAATTTAGAATGAAACATTATCTATTTCGTTTTACAATTATTAAAGTTAAATCGCGCTCGGTACTGTAACTATTGTGGAACTGATTGACGTGTGCGTATTCATAATAACGGTATAAAGAAATACTATGAGTAATTTATATAATTTTGTAGTGTTGCAAAGACAATTTCTATTACAATTTTATATTGCGTCGTGGGCCTTTGAGGAACATTCTAGAACGCTTGGCGTTATCGAACCACACGAGTGTGACTTCCGTTTATATTCGGCGGTTAGGAGAAATGAAATGATCTAAGATTTTAGCCGTGGGACCACGTTGATTTCAAGGAAGGAATGTGTTATATTAACAATCATAGTTTAGTCGCCAAAAGATAGTCTATCTAATAAACATTGAAAGACTGTTACTGCGTTCGATCAGGGTGTTCCCAGAATGCAATACGCATTATCGATACACATCCGGTCGGTCAGAACTACAAAGGAAATTTTGAAAAAGATTCCTGTTCGGAACGTAACACTATAAACGTTAATTTGTACAGTGACATTCAACGTGTAAAATGTGTATAATTATTTGAGAATTAGCCAATTTACATTAAAGTCATTAACAAATTATATCAATCTCTTTATGTTTCAAAATTGATGATTCAATATTACTGACAATACTGTAAACATCTTAAAATTTTCTATCGTATTTAAAACAATCTATTATTCATTCATCTATACTCAACATTTAAAAATTCACTGTGTTTTCAAGTTACAAAAATGTTTTAGCCGTACATAAATTACTTAAAAATTATACTTCTATTTATAATGTAATTATAAAATATTAAAATTTTGTAAATGAATCGTATAAACATTAATAAGAATAAATTGTGTCTTTAATGCAAATTTGATCTTTCAGCAAAATAAAACGAAACTGTACTTTAATGTATATTTAATTATACACCTTTGCTATTAGTCCGACGATTTTTGAATAAGAGATTTGAATACTTAATATCGTTGACATTAACAAATTCGGATACATTGCACCATTAGCAGGAACGTTGAAGCGATTCGTGTACTAAATAATATATTGATTTTTCCGTACACTTTATGAAACGGCGAGTGTATTTCAGAAAAAACGTTATAGTACACGGTTAGCTGCGGTGATATTCTTAAAGCTTTCCAATTTGCATAGATAACCATAGTGCTAGTACCAACACGTGGGTATATGCAAATGGCAGTAGTTGATAGTGTGCAGAAAATATTCAATTTCCTTTTCTAAAACCTCAACTGGAGTTTTCTTCAAGATGAAAATAAAGTGCACGTGATATTCCCTTCTACGGGCATCAAATAATGTTCCAAACAAAATATCTAAAATGTCTATGTATATTGGTTTTAGATATTTTATTAATATCGATTAAAAATAAAGTGTATATAAGGATTTTGGATACAATGTTAATTGATCCAAATTTTACGTGAAGTGATATTTAGAATTTATTAGTTATTTCTCAAACGGTACAGGGTCAATCGTGAACCAAACGTATGAAATATAATATACGTAATGGATAATCGATTAAAACTAAGCATGCAAATAAATAGATGACTTTTAAAATTAGGAGTGAAAGGTCTAAAATTATTGTGCCGATTATCATGAGGTTACTGAAGACCAACATTTCGTACTTAGTCAAAACGGAAGAAACGAAAACGAACTTTGATTTATATTACTGTTAAATTCAATGTTTAAATGCAAAAATAAGCTATTTGTATCTTATTAATAATTAAGAATGCAAAATGTGTTATATATGTCCACTTCTCAGTAGACAGATAAATAATACTATGATCAGTGCAACTATTGTGTACAAATGTCTTTATTACTTTATTTGATTTAATGATTTGTTTATAATTAAAGGAAAGTTTATGTAATATTAATATCATTGTACTAAGTATTTATATTTTAAATAGTTACTATAAAAGCTCAAAAAAAGTGTTTGTGCAGTCGGTTTCATTAAAACTGTATTCAGAATTTGAGTATTTCAGGATTTGCAATTGAAAACTATTGCAAAAATGTATATTAATATTTTATACGTATATAAATCGTAATGTGGCTGTTTATTTTGTAAACATAAGAACTAGTATAAAAATTATACATACAATTTTTTGAAATTTAAAAATTTGCAAAAATACCAACCAGTAGTTAGATTAACTAAAGATATAATTTCAACAATAAAAGTATGTTTGTTTGAAGACTGATTAAATGTTCCTAAATAAATATCATCCTATTAGTAATGCAACGATCCTATACATGTTTTCTATAAATAGCAGGTAAATGGAAGCATTATTTTAAGAATTTTATGTAACAGATTAAATCCATTATCAAAATCATATGTCATTATAGATCTATGTATATTCGATTACGATAATAATCTATATTCTTTTCGCAAGGAAAAGCACGCAAGTGTCCTCTTTCAGTTTTGATAAAGCTTAGTACATTCGTGAAGCAAGCAAAATTGAAGAATATATTGTATATTCTTTTAAGGGATGAAATCACCTTTCGAAGTTTCAAGTACTATCTTGAAAATCAATGAAAGTACATGAAAATCTTTGTAGCGAAAGTTTTATAGTTTTTTATGTACAGTAACAAGATGTAAACAGATTGGTCAAAATAAAATTTATAACAAAATTTTTGATCATTTAATTTTTCAATTTATTCAAATTTGCATGTTGACAGAATGTGAAAAGAATATCTAAAATTCCATATTCTAAATTCATTGATATTTTTATGAAGTTCTACATATTATTCCTCAAATTATTGTTTACATCCACGCGATACCTGATAATCGAATCGCACTGAACAATATCATAGTTGCAGTCAAGGTTATTTATAAGCATGTGGGAAAAATTATTGTTACAATACATAATTATCGACTTCCGTGCATTTTCTTGTCAGATAGAGATAAATTTACCGTAGCATGCCACATTATACGTGTCCATTTCTGCTGCGGTAGTCAACATCTTAGATTTTACGTAATTAAAAGCATGCATTTTCTTATCGTTAATAATCATGGATTTAACAGAAGTAGGTAGTTAAAAAATCAATTTCTTTTTTTTCTTTTAACAACAAGAATATCCAAAATATGTAATAAAATTATCTTTCTATGGTTTTAGCTGATTTTGAGGTTCAAAATCATCTTGTTAAGCTTTATTCAATTTTTTTCAGTAATTACAATACAATATTCAAGGAAGACGAATTGACCTTGAAGAAACTTGACATCTAGCAGTACAAATCAGAAAAAATTAACTATAACCAGTCAAATTGTATATTTCTGATAAATTTCTTCAAATACAACATAATTCATTAAAATACATTTCTGGATACAAAAACTGTCAAGTTATCGTATAATCATTCTGATTTTCATACTATTCGCACTGTACATTATTTTTTAGATTATACGACAGTTTGATTGTCATTGGTTTTAAAAGATATAAAACAAATGAAACAAATTTAAAGGATAACAATGTATTTACAATATTAGGATAACAATAGCGAACATATCAAATTGTTGTCAAACACCAAAAATATCGAATGAAATGATTATTTATTCTTTACACTAAACTCCGCTTCCATATTTAGAAATATATTGAATATTGTGTTTAATTTATTATCGATGGTTAAATTTTCCATTTTGAAATGCCGATCGGAATTAATTTTTGCAGGTCCACGATCATTATTTTCCGTATTATTATCTAGATTATTTCTAAAAATATCCATACATGTGTTTTATGTAGAATTTCATATACTTTTATCAAGTCAATAATAAAATTTCTCAGTGGAGTTGATGAATGGAATATCTGTCATATCATTTTAAACTCTAAACTTCGTTGTAACTGTTTTAAATAAGTTTCACATTTTCTAACAGTAACAGAAGTATTGCAAACATGGCGGATGAAATAACTAAATCTGCAATGTGGCGCAAATTTATCCTAAAACGGTAAGGCATTCCATGATTTATGGATAGATATGTAGGTAGATGAACGTTTGCTTTATAAGAGACGTGCATGACCTTTGGAAGACCAATTTCGTTCAAACTTTGCATAATTACAGAAGATAGCAGAAGTAATAATTGTGCAAAATTATAATATGTACTTTCAAAAGTACGTGAACAGTTTACATTTCAAGTTATAATTTACACGGTTTTGCAACTGTTTCAATTTTGTAAAGTTACAAATGTATTTTAGATAATGCAAAAATGCTAATAGAATAATCTAGAAAAGAGTTGTACTATGAAATTTCTTTGCTTTATACGCTAAGATTTCTTAGGTTAACAATGCAGTTTATACAACTGGTTGCAAGTTTAAAGAAAAAGATTTAAAAATAGCGTGCTAAATTATAATTATTATAGAACTTTATATTTGTTGAATTTGTTTTCGTTTTGTCAAATAAAACCACCTGTATAATAAAAACAAATTCAACACAAACTAATGATTGTACGTTTAAGAATTACAGCCTACATCTTCTTTTCTACATTTGTCTTATTATATTTTTATTAAAATTTATGAGAAAAATCGACATATTTAAATGGTAACTAGAGAAATTGAAGTTAAAACATTTGTTATTAATATGAAGAAGGATATTTTAAGCATTTATAATTATTTATAGTATTTAATACAAGACATTATAGGATTTATAATTGCCTTTAATATTTGATATTATAAGGCTTCTAATTGCTCATAATATTTGAAATTACAGGGTTTTTAATTGTTTTGAATATCTGATATTACAAGGTTTATAATTGCTTACAATATTTGATATCATAAGGTATAAAATTTGCAAGAATTATGAAACGCGTCTGAAACTAAATAACCCAACACGAAGAGAGATAGAAAATGGCGGCGCAGAAATTCAGATAGCAGAGTACTGTATTTGATATTGTTTTCTGTATCGCAAGCCATAAAAATTGCAATTATCTGTTAGATTGTAACATCAATTTTTTTAATCACCACAAATATTTTCGTCTTCTAAAAGTTAGTTTAATTTAAACCTACATTATTCAATTAAACCATTATTCAATTACACACAAAGACATGTATTAAATTTGTTACAACCCACTAAAATGAGAAGAGTATATACTTCTAATATTTACATTAATTCTACTTTCGAAGTACCTGAGAATCAAAAATACTAATGAAATAAACTTTTGTTAAACTGGGAAATCATAGGAATAAGAAGGCGAACAAAAGAGAACTTAATGTTTGACTATAAAATTCAGGATAAAAGTATAAACTAAAGAAAAACTGAAAAGGCTATCGTAAAATCCTCAGGTACTTTCCTAGCAAATTTAATTAAACGTTATTCGTCTTAAATAATAATTCCAGCTTTTACGGATTTCTCCGCAAAGCCAGCATCAAATACAGAATCCTTCCAGTTTACCTTCTGCGCCACTATTTTATTCCGTTTTTCATATTTTAATATTTGAAAGACTTATAAAAATATTTTTGCTATCTTTATTTTACGTTTTAGATTTTCGAAGGAATCCATTCTGGGTTATACTTTATACTTTAGAAGAAAACGATTGTTTTATATTTTAGGGAAAAACCATCATTCATATTTCATAGTTCAGAAGGAAACCTTATCACTTTGAGATCTCTAGGGTATCGTAAACCCCTAACGTGTCAACTACTGCAATGAAAATGGACACGTAATTGCCACAAAATAAATTAAATCTCTAATTATTAAGCAGAGAATCGCTTAACTCCTTGCCGTACAATCTATTTGCGTCAGTCAAAACTAACTATTCTTAGCTATAATGTTAAAACAAACAAAGAAAATTAAAATGTTGTGAGTATTTTATATTCAGCGATCATTAATTATGGTTGGACATAAATTTCAGGTTGAAGAGTATTAAAAGTTTGAGTATTTGTTCACATTTGATTTGTAAGTGCATCTCGAGTGAGACTGAAAGTATGGCAAGGGGTTAATTTTCAAATTCTAGTTTTTAATTTCTTTATATTTTTCAACTATATATCACTAGTGCAATATTAATGTTATTCAATGTTCGTTTGTCCTTCTCTTTCAGATAAGAATATAAAAATTTAAGTCCGAATTTGGTTCCATTTTCCTGAAGTTGCAAAATGTTTGAAACATTATAAAAAGTTTGCTCTTTGACTGGACTGCGCAGTCCTTGTCAGCGTTTAAAAATCGATAATTTATGGTTGCATACGTGTAAAATGTAATTTCTAGAATGATTCGTTACCTTTGTATTTATTGGTACACGCGCCATTAAGGGGCGCCGAATAGTCACCGCATAGACAACGCGTTCTTCCATCTCTAGTGTCTGCCATACATGTTGTGTTTTGAATACCAGCGCAATCAGATTCTAATTTACATTCCCGAGCCTTTCCCACTGAAATTGCAACAAATTCTTATGTATATTATCTTTTATTTTTCTCTTATGTATACATTGATATTTTGAATTGGTTTGTTATTTCGTACTGTCATTGTGTTACTAAATTCTGTTCCTTAATCATGACATTTTATGTGATCAAACCTTTGGAATGTTATAATGTTAATTTTTGGTGAAAACAATTAACTACAATTCAATATAAGCAATTTACAGCGAAATAATTTGTCAAACCTTAAGTAGGAAGAGTTAAATTTTTATTAATTAAATTTTATCATATTACTTTATATGGACGTTAGATTCCTTTATGTACAAAATATTTCATAAATCTGTTCTAAATCTGTTCTAAACCATTTCTAAATCTCTTCATCAAATACTTCGTTAAATACTCTGATATTTAAATCTCTTTTTATAGATTTGTATGTCACATGAATTAACACAGTATCCTGAAAATATAAATCTATGTAGTTTTGTGATGTTTTCAGAATTTAAAAAGTTGAAAAACGACATAGAAATGTGTACCCTAGTTTATCCATACGAGAATTAAACTCTCATATACTAAACTTTAATACACATTAGTAAAATAGCAAGAAAGATTATTATATTTAACAAAAAATTAAAAGAATTTTACTAAATTACCAGTCTTTATTACATTTACACATTTACAAAAATAAAATGTTCTCCAACAGTGTATCAAAATCTACAATAAATATTATGTTTAAAAAATCCCAGATGAAAGTTAACCCGTTTCTCCCAAACCTCATGTACATTCAGTTTCTAAGAAAACACTTATTTCTATCAAGTACCTTTTCTCTGACCTTGTGAAAAATCAGTTAAAGTTCGAAGGTGATAGATAAACTATCGCCCAAGCATTGATTATGGTAAATACTGTACTTTTTAAACGTAATTGTATACAAAATAACAAAACTGCTTGATTCGTTAATGGATATTGTTTATAATAGAAGGTTATGTGAATGCGGAAATTATTGCAACAAACCTGGCGTAGGCGGTGGTGGAGGATTTTGGTTCTGAGTTTGGGGGTTGGTTTTTCCAAACGTAGTAAGGGCCCAAGTGGAGGACGGCGACACGAAGAAGACCAGCAAAAGAAACGTCGCAAATATCTTAAAAGCTCTTCCTTTTTTCATTTCTTCGGACTTGTTGCTACTTCAGAGTGAACTTGAAACTATTGGCTGAATAATCACTTGGTTTATTCACTGGCTCACTGAATTCGGTGTTAAACTCCTCTTTCGAAAGTCACTTCTCTTCACTAAAATGCGTAAATCCGATGACTTCTTGAATGTAAGCTCTCTCTTTCGACGTAACACTGGTATCTCGATTATTATTAGAGTAATCGTATCGCGGAAAAACCGAATAAAATTTCTGCCGCACTTTTCAGCTACTTTAACTACTTGAACAGCGTGGTATTACGTTCTATTCGAGAACTGCATGTCACAAGGACGTTGGAAGGCCTTTTAAGCGTTTGAAGTACCCCCACCTTGTGCCCCATGTGCTGCCACCATCAAAGAAGTAAGTACACCAAAACGTAGTTGGCCTACCACGTCGTCGAACAATCGGAGTATGCTTTGTCTCCTTTAAGTTTCGATCGGTACAAGTTGTGGCTGGGAGAACCGAACGTTATACTACTAGAAAGAAATCTGAACTTTGATTCCCTAACAGCGACATTTCTTTATGTTATTCACGCGAACGAACTTTGCAGCCATTTAATATTGAACATTTCTGCATTTATGTAGGGGTGTGCCAGGAAAATTTATGCATATATCAGTGGCACGTTTAAGATTTGTTCATGTATCTGAAATTCTAGATTTCCAAGCTTTCATACTATTAAATTGATAGATCTGACAGTTTTTGAGATATTTTTGTTTTTGTACTTGTGAATTTTTTAATTTTTAAATTTGCAAATTCCTAACTTACCGTATTTATAAATTTACAAACTCCCAATTGATCAAATTTATAAATTTCCAAACGTTCAAGTTTCCAAATATATTAATTTATAAATATAGTTTCTCCTATGTTTATGCTAACATACATATATTGTTAACGGAATGTATTTGAATCTTGATTTTTCTTTATAACAAAATGTAAATTTCTATAATAATTGCGAAATTCTCTAGTATTTTAAAATGTTTTATACATTCGCAGAAATGAACATGATAAAGTTTAAAAGAGATACTTTTATTACTATTTATAACTTCCTGTATTCTTTATTACATTTTTTGGTTCGCGTGATTATATCCATCTAGCACATGTATACTTTAATAATCATTCAGTGAGCATGTATAAATTAAAAATTTGTTGTACAATAACTGTGTCAAAAGATGTTTACAGCTTTTTTTCACAGGTTCTTTTTACAGGTAAGTAAGAATATTCGAAAATCTGTACATGTTAGGTGATTAATAGTTAACAATCAAAGAATGAATTCACGTTTAAACAAATTAGAAATAAATAAATATAAAATTTTACTTGAGGTAGAATGATATATTATGCATACAAATTATAATAGAGTTAAAGAGTTAACCAAATTTAACGTGTCAGGAAAAATAATACATATAATAAAAACACTTCTCTTATACTGTCTTAAAAATAGAAAAATAGATTGAAAAATTTAGATAACAAAAGATAATATTATGAAAGTGGGTATGGCGAATATTGACGACAATATGTGTGTAAATTACTTAAACTAAACTACAATTAAATTACTGAAATTAAATTGAATTAAAGGAGTCACATATTTATGTAAAAATAAATTCAAATAATTAAAGGAATTGTTGCTTTAAATAATAGATACAAGATAAATGTAAGCAATATGGAATTCAGCAATATCACAAAATAAATAATTTTATCCTTATACACAATAAAATTAATATACTATATAATTAATATAATTAGTACAATATAATATTATTTCTTTACGAATAAAAGCAGCTCAATCAATTTTTAGTTTATTACAGCAAAATCTCTATAAAAAAATATATATTGTTGATTTTGAAGTAGCACAAAAGACACGAGGCAAATAACCTCAATTTTTAAGATTTATACATACAAAATCTAATTCTGCGTGATTTAGCATTTTGTTCGTAATTATTTCAGAGTAATTTACAGTTAAATTTATGTTTTTGATGATATAGTTATTACTTTGCTCGCAATTTGCGTGAGCAATATGAAACACGCAGCATGAGTAATGTTTCATACTTGAAACTTTTTTTCTGTCGCCCTCACGATGTGTAAATAGATTTTTATATAGATATAGAACATTATACATAAGTTGTGAAAAAATCGCCAAACAATAGAATAATTATAATAATGATGATATACAATACTAATTTTAAACAATAATTTGCAATTAAAATTTATTATTGATTATTATTATTACGATATTTATTACATAAATGTATTCAAAAATTAAAATTAAATGAAGATACATATTTAGTTATAATATAAACAAATGCATAGAACGCACACTACGCTATAAAATAATGTGAATTAATTATTGGATGATCAGCAAATTTTGGCGGAGAAATATTTCAAATTGCTGTATCTTTGTAAGAAAAATATCATACCCATAATTATTTACGCGAGTACATTTTAATGAACGAAATTTCTATCTTCATATCCCCAAAGTTAATTTTGTTAAAAACTCTTTTTTTATTATAATACAGATTTGGAAATTGAAGTTGTATCGTTCCTAATTTTTACAAATTCAAACAATTCAACGGAATATAAAAAGATCTTTCGCCAGATTTTCTTCAAAATAAAGTTTTCCCCTTGCAAAGATTTTTAGAAAATTGTTATATGATATTTTGTTGCTATTTTGCCATACTTCAAGCGAGTAATATGGCGAAAGTACTATAAATGCAGAAAACACGTTAAAATATTTACAAAATATTTATACAACAAACTGTGTTAATTATTAATTTTAAAAAATTTGATAGTTAATTTATTTTGTGATACAATTTTTGAATGATTTTTTAAAATTAGTACATAGCTATTACAATGAATCTTGAATGACCCAATTTGTTAAAGAGTTAACATACAAAAGTAACTTTTTCTTAATAAATACAATGTCATACAAGATGTGGTAAATATCGCTCCTATAGCTGTAATTTGATAAAGAAAATCATAATGCTTATCAGTGTTTGGAAGGAAACTCAGCACGAAAACCGGTATTTTATTGTACGCAAGTCACGAAATCTGTGCGGTCATACAACTTTCCTATCAATTACGAAATCAAATTTGATTTAAAATGGGAGATACTATCTGAGGTTACTAATCTAATAATGAACGATTTATTCAGCAATATACGTATACTCAGACGTACTTATAAATGGAGTTGAACATTTCTTCTCGCATACTATTAATTACAAATATATGTATTCTATAAGTTGTTAAGAGTTTAATCTTTTATGTCCTGAAGTATATATTTTAACGTCATATTTCTTAACTTTCTTTTTTTATATTTTGAATTTTATATTTTTGTACTTTTTGAAGCAGTTTTAATTCTTCATATTTTGAAACAGTTTAAATAAAACATATTATAAGTGTAAACGTTTTCTATAATCATTTTTTTTGCGACATTGTAAGTAATTTTCAGTCGTCATATTTTGAAGCTGTTTAAATAAAACATGTTATGAATATAAATATTTTTTATTTATTTCTGCCCTTTTAAGCAATTTTGAAATAATTAATATTATTTATCCTTTCGTCAATTTAATAAGGTTTAAAACAATTCTTGACTAATTAATACGTGATGATCTCGTTTAATTGTCTAACAATTGAAACGAGAACGAAAACTTAAGTAAATGTTAACTTTATAGACTTTTAATCATATCCTCACAAGGTAGTTCTTTTAAACAAAATTTTTTTGCGAATATTGGATTACTTATACATAAGAAATAAACTTGAAACGTTTGCACGAAGAGGTTTAGAAATTTATAGCTCAATTTCTACCATTTTATGGTTTAAATTTATAAAAATGTACTTGCACGCTAGAACTGTACTGTTTTCGAGCACCAATTAACTAGAAACTTTCGACATATCACGAAGACTTCGTAGCAGTCGGCCCTGTCTCGCATTTTCGAAAGACAAACGAATTATCGGATGCTATTCATGAATATTCACGCAATTCACTTACAGTAAATGGCGGAAGTATTCATACCTTGTCAATTAAGAGATTAGACTATTCGCACTAAAATAATTGAAAAAATACCACATCTTTTAATATTTCAATATTAAATAAATCATTTAATTTAAGATAAATTGTAAACAACATAAACTGTAAGATGCGGGAATCAACGAAATAGCGTCTAGAAACAAGATAAATAATATATTCAATTTCAAAATATTTTTACAAAAGATTATATTCCACCGTACATTTTATTAATTTTTTCAATGTAAAGCACAGCTTTATGGACGAATAATTAAACTGTTGCATGAGAATGTTGGTATGAATTGCTCATACTTCATGTTACGAGCATTTAGTTTAATTTTACAGCGTAAAAAGTATTTAATTAACAGTTACAAAATGATTCAACACATCAGTGGATTGTCATAAATTATCAAATTTATTGCATAGAGTAAGTTTACGTAGGTGTAACAATAATGGTATTTTCACTGCAAATGTTTCAAACATAATGGCTTTTGATACCGAGCACAAGTATTAATACCTACATACATCACATATATGCCTGAGAGATTCATTATTTGCCACACAATTGGTACTTTTAATTTTTAATATTATACTCCCTTTTCCGTTTCCGCAAGACCTGCTGAGTAAATCGAACAACAATGAACAGAAATAGAGCGTTCCTTATGCGAAACAGGGGTTTATACTTGCTTTTTCTGCTTGTGTTATTGTGCAATCTTTGGCCATCCAATTAGGACTGCTATAAATTTTCAGCATTTTTCACGTTTTCCATAAAATTAAAAAGCCTATTCAAATTGTAATGATACAATTTATTAGCTACTAACATGATACACTATGTCTGTACATAATATTATTAACCTTTTGCGGCCGTATGTCTACTCTCGGCCACCAAAGTTTTTTACCAGTCCAGTTGTATGTTTGCTCTCAACCCCCACAGCAAGGAACCATACTAATCTTACGCTTCATTCAACCACAATCAAAAACCAATTTTTCGACGGGATCTAAGATTGTTGCACCTAGTGTACCTGATCATTGCGCCGATACTATCAATTTTTTCAGACTCTTTTTCACAGATACTGTTGTGAATTTATTTATGGACACACTAAATAAAACATGTGTAATATGGTTGGCCAACACTCACTTTATTGAATAATTGAAAAATAATAATATGGAAATAAAAATTATATAATAAGAAAGAAAACACATGCTCTTTACTTCATAACACTCTTCATATAGACCGCAGGTGAACACAATAGGTAACATAAACACGGTAAAAGAAAGCTAGTAATCTAGAAAAACAAAAGAACCTGGCGCTCTATTTAAATTGTATATTCGCCGTCATTGACCGATTTCCAACAGATACACTACCTGAAACAATTGTATCAGAAACTAACTTCACAAACGTATCAAAGTAAGATCGGAGGAGGACACTTTTTCTATTTACTAC